CTGTTTCTATAAAAAACCATAAACCAGACGAGCCTCCGGAAAATCTCATCAGGGAAAATGACAAAGCAGCCCGGTTAGGCGGGAGGGAAGGACAGCAGCACCGACGTCATCACCCCCGGGCAGAGGAGGCCGCGCTGTGAGGATATTGCGCACTTTAATGGAGTGGGTGCTTTTTTCCTTCGTTTATAAGGAAACCAAAATCACTTTTGTAAAAACGAAGGAAGCAAAACTAATTTTTAACTCTCTCAAGGAGTGATCAAGACGTCAACAATCCACATAAGCCCAAGAGAAAATTTAAAATCTATCGAGAATCTGCCCTAGCCAGTTTGGCTCAGTGGATAGAGCATCGGCCTGCGGACTGAAGGCCCATGGGTTCGATTCCGGTCTCTCTCACATGGATGTTTCTCTCTCTGTGTCTCTCTCCCTCCCTTCCACTCTCTCTAAAAATCAATGGAAAAATATCCTCGGGTGAGGATCAACAACAAAATTCTACCAAGAATCTACTTCCAAAATTCAACAAAGGAACAAAGCCTATTGTTCTAAATGAATTTGTAAGTGAATTCTATCCAATAGATTTCCATGTGCTTTTAAACACTCCAGAGCATAGGAAAATCGGAAAAGTCTGCCCATTTATTGCTCCAAATAACAGCCATATTAGTTAGCCATTGCTGCAAATATGGTACCCCCAAGACCTAGGGGTATAAATAGCATTTCTTATCACGGCTTCTGTGAGTCAGGAATACAAAGCCACTGACTTAGGTTCTGCCTCACCGTCTCTTGTGAGGCTCATAAAGGTGTCGGGCTGTAGTCATCTGAAGGCTCGACCGGGGCTGGAGGACCTAGTTCCAAGATGGTTCACTCTCACGGCTGTTGGCAGACACCATGATTCTTTGGCTCTTGGCAGGAGACCTCACCTCCGCACTGTAAGGTCCTCCATAGGGCAGCTTGGGTGTCCTCAGGACATGGCTGGTGACCTCTTATAGAATGAGTGACCTGAGGGAGAGGACAGGGGAACGTTGCAATGATTTTTATGACAAAGGCTGGGAATTCACCATTCTGCTTTGTTCTACTCAATAAGGGGGAGCCACCAAGTCCAGCCACATTAAGGGGAGGGGAATTAAGTTCCACATCTTGGAGGAAGGTGTATCAAAGAATTTGTGGACATAATTTAAATCCAACGCAGTCTGCCTTCCGGCCACAAAATCTTTCCATTTCTCCCACATGCAAAATACACCCACCCCTTCTCAGGGCTGCTTCCCAAAGTCCATTGTCTTAGCATTCGCTCTAAATCCAGGACCTCGCATCGAAACCAGGTCCAGACCTGAGGGTCCTCCAGTGGCTCCTTAGGTACCAACTCCACTTCCTCTGGCTGATGACCTGGGAACCACACGGAGCAGTGACCTGCCCCTCGCACACCCGACAGTGATGGGGTGGACACGGTCACGGGTACGGACACTCCTGTTCCAAAGGGGAGAATGAGAGCAGAGAGAAGTCACCTCCCCATTCTGAAACCCAGCCAGGCAGACACAGGAGCTTTTCTTGTTCCTCCTCCTGTCTGAGCTCTTGGCTCTGTCCTCTGGACTCTTGGTTCTGCTGAGTCATCCTTTCTCTTTCTGGAAAAGATAAGCATGTTTCACGGCAAAACTCTCCACTAGCTTCCTGCTGGCAGGACTCTGGGGGCCCATGGTCTCTCGTCATGGTGTCCTTTTGGCCTTTCAGTCCAAGCTGGTGCTCCTCACGTCAACACACTTCTTTTAAGTGTGTGTGTGTGTGTGTGTGAATGTGTATGTGAGTGTGTGTGAATGTGTGTACATGTGAGTATGTATGTGAGTCTATGTGTATGTGTGAGTGTGCATGTGTGTAAATGTGTATGAGTGTGTGTGAGCGTATGTGTGGGTGTGTGAATGTGTGAGTCTGTGTATTGTGAGTGTGTGTAAATGTGTGTTTTTGAGTGTGTGTATGTGTGAGCGAGTGTGTGTGTGAATGTGTGAGTGTGTGTGTGTGAGCTCCTTGTTTGATACTAAGTGCCTTCCTCCCCAACGCAAGTGTTCAGAATGCTAAATTACCTGTTAACAAGCATTTAAAATAGCACAGTTTATGCTAATTCAGATGATCATGGTTCCCAGAACGCTTAATTTTACCTTTGAAATCGCTGCTCTGCATCAGGGGCGGTGGCGTCAGGGCCTGTGATCCAGCATCCGAGTGGCGTCTGTGCTCCCGGTCGTGGCCACGGGGTTCCCACGGACGCGTGTGCACAGCTTGTGCGCCGTGTGCCGTGGATCCGATCTGCAGGTGGAGTGAACTTCAGGAGCCCCGGCCGCCACCTTCCCCGTCCCTCCAGGCCTGGGCGGGGAGAGCCGTCCCACCTGCCCTCACCCATGGGGAACTGTTCCTCTCCTGCTGCATTTGCTCTGACACCCACGGCACCCGACCCCCTCCCCCGACGTGGATGCTTCCCTTTCTCCGTCTCCGATAATGACCTTGGGGCTGAGCTGCTCAGGAGGGAGGGGAAGGAAGAGAGAGGAGCTGGGCTTTACCTTTTGGGCCAGGACATCCCCGGGGAAGGTCCTCAGAAGAAATCAAACGCCCCACATGGCCCACGAGGAGGAGCAAGTCTCCTGGGTGAGACGGGGGCACTCGGGGGGTCAGGTCCCCTGCAGGGCTGTGACCGAACTCGAAGGCTCATCAAAGCCGACGACGGACAGCTTGGCCTCTGCACAGGCCCTTTCCTGTCGGTGCAGCCGAGGGTCATTGGAAACCACGGCGAGGGTCTGGCCTGAGGTGCCTCGTAGGCAGGTCCCCCAGGGGCACAGGATCCATGACCTGTGCTTTACCAGCCGGACATGCTCTGGAGGGCTGGCGAGTCCACCAGGATACCCTGCAGCCTGGCCTCCCTCCCTCCACACTGGCCTTCACTCCCGATGCTCCACCTGCTCCCTCACTCCCCGTCACACTCCCATTCCGCACCAAGTTCCTTGTTCTCCCCCACTCTTCCCTCTCCATCATGCTCTAGTCCAGTGGTTCTCAACCTTCCTAATGCCACGACCCTTTAATACAGCTCCTCATGTTGTGGTGACCCCCAATTTCATTGTTACAAATTGAACATAATTAAAGCATAGTGATTAATCACAAAAACAATATGTAATTATATGTTTTCCGATGGTCTTAGGCGACCCCTGTGAAAGGGTCGTTCGACCCGCAAAGGGGTTGCGACCCACAGGTTGAGAACCGCTGCTCTAGATGCTCCATCATTCTTCATCCTCTCTCACGCTCCGGCACCCCCCATTCCACTCCAATATGCTCCTTCCTGCTCCCCATGGCCCCTGGGCGCCATTCCCAGGAGTAGTGACCGGGGCTGTGTGTCCTCCTGGGCGCACAGGGCAGAGCCCAGGGGTTCACATGGCCTGGAAGAAGCGTGTGCTGCCGTCTGGGTGCTGCTCAGCCCCCTGCCCCCTCAGCCTGCTCCTCCACACTGGACCGTCCTGCTGGTCCTCCGGAAGTTCCTTCTAAGCACGGGCTCCCTCGTATGCACCGTTTCCTCCACGGGAACACTCCCTTCCCTGCCCCACCCCTGTCTGCCCAGGTCTCCACATTCTCGGCGTCTGTGTTAAAGGCCTCTCCCTGCTCTGTCGTGCTCGGAGCTCCCACGTGGCTGCAGTCAACTGAGCTGTGGACACTCTCCACATTCTTATGAATGACCCACCCAGTTACGAGAAACGACGAAGAACAGATGACATTCGGCCCTTCTCAGGACTGAAATAAACCTGAAGTGGCAGGGAAGCCGAGCAGCGGCACCAGGCGGCCCGGCTAAAGGAGACCGAGAGGAGGTAGGAGGCTCAGCAGCCGGCGGGTGAGCGGGCGCCTCCGGGTGGGAGAGCAGTCCAGTGTCGCAGGCCTGGGACTGAGCGGTGAGGGTCCTGCGTCCAGGGGCCCTGCGTGCCCGCTCGGCCTGAGCCCAGCATCGGGGTCGTCACAGGGCCCGGGGCAGCCCCTGCTGCTGTGAGCTGGTGACAGACACACATGGGGGCACGGGGGCAGCTCATTTGGGAGCAAAGACTAATGGGCCCAGCAGGTCCCTGTATGTGTTGCTGAGCCACCTCCGACTAAGCAGATGTGTAAATAACCCAGGAAGGGCAGATTGGAAAAATAAGGAAGGTGAAGTCCCCGAACAGACTTTAAAAAGTAAGTCAATTACTGGGAGATAAAACTAGAAAGCAAAGGCTGAAATGCATCACACACCAAAGGCTGCCGCGGAGATGAAAGCAAGGCCCGAACCCGCAACAGAATCCAGGGCCAGAGATAATGCAAGGGATCAAATCTTCACATAAAAGCACAGTCCCAGCGTTGATTAAAAATAATTTCTTTAAATACCAGGAAGCAATTTCCAAGCACCAAGGGTGGTTTTAAAGAAGAAAAAGACTTTTCTGCTTGTAAAATCTAGCTTCTATACACCATCTCCTTTTATTTTATTAAATATATTTTATTGATTTTTTACAGAGAGGAAGGGAGAGGGATAGAGAGTTAGAAACATCGATGAGAGAGAAACATCGATCAGCTGCCTCCTGCAAACCCCCTACTGAGGATGTGCCCGCAACCAAGATACGTGCCCTTGACCTGAATCGAACCTGGGACCCTTTGGTCCGCAGGCTGACGCTCTATCCACTGAGCCAAACTGGTCAGGGCTATAACATCTCCTTTTAATAAAGATTTGAGATAAGCACATATGAAAGGGCATGGCTCAATAAAGATGAATTTGTAATAGATCATCAGGCATTTTGGAAGGCTGCAACATGAAGCCCCAATCTGAATGTGTGGGAGCTAAGTTGGACTTTGAGCTTCCCGGCATCCAAAGCAAAAACAGACCAGAAGCCCCTCCCGGTGAGCGATACCAAGGACGGGCTGCAGCCCCCCGAGTGGGGGTCACACAGCTCTCAGAGAAAGTAGAAAGCAGGGAGCAGCACTCGTGTTTTACATCAGGGATAGAAACACGGACACCGTGAGTCTTTTAAAATAACATTTTATTTTTCATTGTCAGTGATTAACTCTGGAGCCTACTAGAAGGGTATCATGATTACAGTGAATAAAAAAATATAGATGACAGAATAAAAATATTAGGTTACACAAAGTTAGTTTTTTGTTTGTTTTTTTCAAAATCATCATTCAGCGACATTTTCAGGACATTGGAGCTTTGAAAAAACAACAACAGAACTTCACGTGGACAGTTTATTTATTTTTTTTACATTTCCAGGAACTAAAAATGAAGAGCCCACCTGGAGAACGCCTGCGGACACCTGTTCCAATAAACGCGAGGCCCACAGAGACGAGACAGAAGACGAGCCCCGAGAGCCATCGTATATACACAGTCTGTACAGAGGACGAGAATTCACCCCGTTCGGCCACCTCCCGGGGCTCACCCATTCTTTATTTAAAAAGAGAAAGAAAACGGATCTTCCTATACTCAGAGTTATTTTTCCACTTGATCCAGGATTTGTAAGCGTGTTTCCACTCCATAAATTAGTAGCTGTTCAGTAGCTGAGAAATATCCTATTTTAAATTATCCCAAAGGAGACCAGGAACTCCGGAAGGGGTTGATGTTACGATGATGTTGGTGGAAGAGGATACGTCCAACCAGCCAAGGTCCCCGCGAGCCGCAGCGTGGAGGGAGGAGGGCTGGACCCCATCCCTCGGGGAAGCTGGGTCCGGCCGAGGAGAAGGCGTGACGCCCGACGCCCAGCGCTCGCGGTTCTCAGGCCGATGGGCTAACCCGGCCGCGCTCAGGTAGCTCCACCTGCTCCTGCTCAGGTGTCATTTGGCACCGGAAGGAAGGGCTTTGGGGCAAGACTTGGGCTCTCAGGGAGGCCCATCGGCAGCCCCCAGTGTGGACACACGCCCAGGGCGCCCCGGCCCGCGTCCACCTCGCTCTCCACTCCAAAAGGCTGTGCATCCCACGGCTGAGAACAAACTCCTTTTAAGGAGGAGCAACCGCCCCGAGTGTCAGACATCATGGGTCCGATGAGGTAAACGCCAGACAGAGGGGACGAGGGGGACGGCTCGCTCACTGCACGATCCCGGAGTCCACGGATGTCTGCTTGCGCGTGGTCTTCGGGGGCGGCGGGGGCGGGGTCTTGCTGGGCAGCGGGGGCGGCAGATGCTGGAAGACAGAAGGCCGGGGGACGCCTGTTACTGACGGGGAAGGGAAAGCGAGGCCCGCAGGGGGCCTGGCCTGGCGCAGGGCAGGGAGGGAGCGGACCTGCACCCCTGGTGGGGCTGCCTTCTCCGCGTGGCCTGGGGCTGGCAGGGCGGCCGCACTCAGGCCTGGGCTGCTGGCGTCTCTGATGAATCGCTTTGCACAAAGCCCTTCGATGTCTGCACAACCCCTGCTCTTTGCACGCGGCTTTAAGTCTGGGTGCCCTCGATCTAGGGCCCCGGAATGAACCGACTGCAGAACTGGGCAGTTTCACGGTTAAGAGCAAGTCAAGAGGGGCCAAGCAGGACCCAGGGCCACCCAGGTGGCTGGGGTGTCACGGCCGAGCCCGTCTGATGGGGACCCACAGGTCCCTCCCCCTGCTCTACTTCCAGGTTCAGGATGTTCAGTCCCGGGGTGTAGGCAGGCCTGCTTTTCTGGTCAAATAAAGGCACGGAAGTAAAGATCTGATTGGTGGACTAAGCTGCTAGGAAAACAAGAGGCCCAGCCAATAAAGTGCGCAGACGGTTAGTCAAGCCCCTCCCGGGAAGAGTGTCATCACACACCTCAGAGCCCCGGGCCAGAAAGTGTCCACAAAGGAAGGAAAGCGCGCAGAATTCACGGGGAAAAGCACGCCTTCTGTTATAAAAAACCGCAGCCACGTGAGCCACAGGGTCCTGTCATCACGTGGTCACTGTGGGGGCTGAGCAGACACAGATGTGAATGTGGTCCTTCCCTCCACACTGGGCTCATCTAAGCGTATTGGGAGGAACCTGGACAGGGATCTCCCGGCCACAGGCCATTCCCTGTGCGGCCCTGCACTGCACGCCACCCTCCACACGTGGCCTGGCCACGGAGCCCCGCGTGAGAGTGCCACGTGAGAGCGTGAGAGCGCCTGGAGAGCCAGAGGGAAGCATGGCGGATCTCACAAGACTGCCTGGGACTGCCGAGGTGAGAGCACTGGTTCAGAAGACTCAGAGCTAATGTTTACACTAGCGGGCAGGCCGCGAGGCCACTGCGCATGAGCCCTCAGAGGAGATTAATCCTATCAGACCTGAGGCCCTGAACCTAACGGTCCCCTATACCTGGGCTCCTGAGCATTAAAGAGAAAAAACCAACATGATGTAGAAAAATGTTAGTTACATGCAAACAAGTGGTTAGAATAAGATGGAACTTGGAGACATTGTAGAAAATAGGTCTACCTTTCATCTACCTTTCATCTAGCGCCAATATTCCACCTTTGTGTGGAAATTACCGAAAAATCGGTACAGCGGTCTGGGAGGGTTACGGACTAAAGTAGTTTCAGGAGGTGCCGGCCTCGGGGAGCCAGTGCTGATAAGGGCTCCCCAAATCTAAGTGGGGAGGGGGTCCGGGAGGCATGTCCGGGGGTGGGTGGCCTCGGGGATCTGGGCTTTGCCCAATTGGAGCCAAATCCTGCAGGTGCTCCGAGTGGCGAGGGCCCGACCCCCCGCAGGAGCGGCCAGGGCGAGGGAAGCTCCTGGAGGGAGTGCTGGCATGGGGGTCCCAGGGCCGGGTGGTGCACGGGAGCCCGTCCCCACGCAGCGTGCCGGCACCAGCTTCCTCACAAGTCAGACCACCCTGCCTAGAAAAGCCACTTTCCCAAGTCAAACCTCCACGAGGACTGCACCTCAGGGGAGTGGCCTCCGTGGCCGCGGGGTCAGCCCTCCTGCCCCTTCCCTTGTTCCAGGGCCACATCTGGACGCGTGTCCCCGTGACAGGTCCACAGATGACCCAGGCCAGGCTCGAGATCGCCGTGGCCTTTCCCCCAAATCCAACCCTGGCCAGGCCCGGGGCCACACGCCGACGGGGGGAGGGGGTATCACTGCCGTGGAGCAGAGACACTGACAATGCCCGGGCTGCCTCCGACTTACCCTGTGGTGAGGAGGGGGCGGCGGGGGTGGGGGCGAGCCCAGAAGGTCCTGGCTGTCCATCAGGTTCCCGTAATCCGCCATGCTGCCCTTCAGGGGCAGAGGGGGCGGGACCTCGGCCACATCCATCCCGGTCATGCCGTTCAGCTCCAAACCTGGAGAACGGGGTGGATTGAAAAGCAAACCCACATCCCGCCGGTGGGCACGCCCACGCGCTGCTCCCATCGCTCCGGAGCAGCGGGCGGCAGAACCACTTTATCCAGAGTGATGCCGGCCAGCGGGCAGGGAGGAGAGCGGGAGGGGGACAGGGCAGAGGGCGGCCCCGCCTACGGGCATGTCCCGGGAAGAGAACGTAAGGAGCCGCGAGGCCCCGAACCCAGGGCTGGAAGCCACGGTGAAAACAGCCACGTCACCCGGGACCCTTCCATCCCTCCCCGGGGCCCTTCGCCCCCCGGGCATTTAAACAGCTGGGGGTCAGGAGACGGGTCTCCGCCTGCCCTTTGCAAAGCCCAGCAGGACTGGGCACCAGCCCGCCGCAGCCGCTGCCTGGAGAGCGTCGCTAAGCGAGGTCTAAGGTGCACACAGCCGCCCGCCGCTCAGCGCTCTCCACGGGCGGCCGTGGCTGCATGAAATGAAGTTATTAGCATGAGCGGGCCTGGCTGCTGCCTCCAATAAGCCCAGGGAAGTGCAATTGATTTTTAAAGTGGACGGAAGAAGTGGCAGCTTGCAAATGGAGGAGCAATCGTCAGGGCGTCACGCCCTCCGCCTGGGTGAGCCGCTCAGACAACACTGGTTTCCTTTCGTGTTAAAGAGGAAAACAGACATGTGGGCCGGTGGGTCTTCTCTACAGTTTCCCTGATGACGCGGCGGCTGACGGGAAGGTCCCTCTTAGGAAAGCTCTTCTGGGAAGAGGCCGCGTGGAGGGACCCGGAGGCCTGGCCCGTGGATGGGGAGCGAGAAGGAGGCCTGGGAATGAGCGCTTGCCCAGGACTGGTGGGGTGGCTGGCTCGTCGCGGCAGAACATACGTAACGCAACCCTGGCCGCTTTAACCACTTGGAGCGTCCGCATCACTGGCCTTTATCCCATTATAATGTGCAGCCACCATCACTGTCTGTTCTCAAAACGTCCTTGTCCCCCGAACGCAAGGCCTCCACCCAGAGGCACCGGCCCCCCCTCTCCCCGCGCCAGGAGGGCCCGAGAGCCGGGGGCACACTTGTCACCCGGAAGCCCGGCCGCGCTTTGCCCTGCAGAGCCCTGTCCCCGGGACCCGGCCAGGGAGTCTGTGCTCATGGAAGCTGCCTGCTGCCCGGAGGAGGCGGGTCTCACTTCAGGGACATGGACCCCGGGGGAGGCTCAGGGTGCCGGGTTCAAAGGCGGACAGCGCCCCACTCACTGGACTGCAGGCTGAAGCTGAGCTTGGTCCGGGGCATGACCGGCGGGGGCGTCTGCTGGGCGGTGGGTGACGTCGGGGACACGGAGAAGCGCCGCTCGCTCCCGATGGCGTTGATCACCTGGCTCTTCGGCCTCTGGGGCCGCAGCGGGCTTATCTAGAGGGAGGGGCGGAGAGAGAGAGGGGGGTTCGGGTCTGTCTTGGGCTGCAGGTGCCACCTCAAAATTCAGCGGGAGCCAACGGGACTCCCTGGGATGTTATTCATGTCAACGCACCAGCACGTGTCACGTTAGGTGCCTGACAGTCCCCCCGAGAGATGGGAGTGGGGCGCAGAGGAGGCGGGTGGATAGCAGGGGGCCACGTGTGGCCGCAGAGCCGAGGGGAGGGCTCGGGGCCTCGCTGAGCCGGGTGGGCCGCCCGCAGTCACCCAGGCTGCGTGGTTTCTGGCCGGGAAGGGGCCGGGGACAGACACACCGAGCGCTGTTTTCTGACAACACAGCTTTCCTGTTCATCTCCGGAGACACCAGGACGCCCGAGAACGTGGGGGCCCTGCTCGGACCCTCGGGATGGAGGGAGCGTGAGTGGGACCAGGGGAAGCTCCCCCTGACCCGTGCACGCCCCGCAGCATCGGTCAGGCGAGGGGAGGGAGGAGGGAGACCGGCATTTTGACGGGACAATGTTACAGCCAACTCCACACCCGCCAGGGGACAGCCCTGCGGGTAAGTGTGCAGGGGGAACCCCGGCGGCCCAGAGGCGGGCGGGTCCCCGGGAATTACCGTCTCCGACAGGATCACGGCCTCGGAGCCCTGCGGGGCCGCGTCCACGGGCCTCAGCTCCTTGTCGAATATCTCCTGGTGTTTGCTGTTCCGCTTCTCCTTCTTCTTGTCCTTCTTGTCCTTGTCGGGGTCGTCCTTGTCCAGCTTGTCCTGCGACCGGGAGTGCATCTTCTTGGGCAGCAGGGGCTCCAGGGCGAACCTGGAGGAGAGGGCTGTTAGGCCCCGGGCCTCTCCATAGGCGAGCGGCTGCTGTCGCCCCAGATGTGCGGGGCGCAGTCCCTCCCGGGAAACCCAAGAGCTGCCTGGGAACCGCGACTTTTACAGGAAAGGGGGGGCTGCAAAGGGAGGCGGAGGGAGGCGAGACGTGTGTTAACCGATCGCAACAGATGGACTGCGTTTGCACCTCAGCAACAACAAACTGGAGGGAAACCCGCAGCTGCAGGATGATGGGGGATGGAGTCTGACGCTATGAGGGATTTCTGTCGATCTGCGAGGGGAGGGGGCACTTGAGTCTATTCCAAAGGCTAGCCCCCACCTTTTATTTATTTCATATATGTCATATATATATAGTATATATATTGATTTCAGAGAGGAAGGGGAAGAGAAAGACAGAGAGAGAGAGAGAGAGACAGAGACAGAGACAGAGAGACAGAGAGAGACATCAGTGATGAGAGAGAATCATTGATTGGCTGCCTCCTGCACACCCCACACTAGGGATGGAACCCAAAACTGGGCATGTGCCCTGACCAGCAATCCAACCGTGACCTCCTGGCTCATAGGTTGATGCTCAACCACCTCATAGGTCGATGCTCAACCTCCGAGCCACGCCAGCTGGGCGAGCCCTCGGCTTCTAGCGATTAGGACCGGAATATCCATGCGCAGTGGGAGGGAGCAGGCGGGTGCAAAGGTCGCAGAGGAAGGTCGCCTCCATCTGAAAGCCTGTGCTGAGGGCCCAGCTGGCAGGTCCCAGGTGCGCTCAGGTGTTCAGCCCAGAGCTGAGCTGCAGACAGGGGACCCGGGTCCCAGCTCGGCCACGGCGGCTGGACGTCCTCAGTCACAGGGAAGGGAGGACACCACACCTTTCTGCTCAGTGACACCAGCCAGACGGTGGGAGAGTGTGGCAGGGACACCCTGTCAAGTACATGGTCTTGGGTAGCTTCTCAGGCACGTGGCCACACCGAGCACGCACACGCGCCTGCACACAGTCGCCATCTGCTATTGTAATGTACGACTCGGGGCGGGGGGGCATCCTGTCCCTGCCCCACGCAGTCACATCAGAGAGGGAAGGAACGGTCCCGGGAGACGGGAACCTCACTCCCTGCGCAGGAAGGCGGAAGGAGACAGGCCAAGGGGTGCGCAGGGCGGGCACGGCCCTACAACCTCTCAGCGCTAACGCCCACGTAAGGGGTCCTTGTTATCAGCACCTCATGTTTCTGAAAACATGGCCCATGAAAACGGTTTCACAAGAGATGGGGTCTCCTACACGGCCTCGCTGTCCTGCAGTCACAGAGGAGAGTGGCCGGCACTGTGATTTCTGAGAAATGTCACCTGTGGGCGACACGTCGCTGCCACACGATTGAAAGAAACCCACTCCGAAGCCAGCAGCGTTCACAGAGCTCCCTGACCGGTGCCCAGCAGGCCCCGAGCCTGGCGGGCTCCCTGCAATGTTCTGTCCCCTTGGTGTATGACTGACCTTTTCCATAACAAGAACTTAGAGATGACTGAGGAACACACCAGTGCGGCTTTCCACCACCGAGGCATGTGGGACACCCAGACTTCCCGCTGGATCGCATTCACCAACAAACCCACATTGATTATGTTAGATGGTGTGTCTGCTATATTAGCAGCAATAATCAACATGTTCATAATGGTCTTCTAGGTTTTGCAGAACTGGAGACAACTAATGTAGGAAGGGAGGTTTTAGTGGACGCTGTCCGCTTAGAGCAGTGGTTCTCAACCTTCCTAAGGCCGAGACCCTTTCATACAGTTCCTCATGTTGTGGTGACCCCCAACCATAAAATTATTTTCGTTGTTACTTCATAACTGTAATGTTGCTACTGTTATGAGTCGTCATGTAAATATCCGATATGCAGGATGTATTTTCATTGTTACAAATTGAACATAATTAAAGCATAGTGATTCATCACAAAACAATATGTAATTATATATGTGTTTTCCGATGGTCTTAGGCGACCCCTGTGAAAGGGTCGTTCGACCCCCAAAGGGGTCGCGACCCACAGGTTGAGAACCGCTGGCCTACAGGAAGCCGTGTGCTGGGAAGGACAGGCATCCATACAAAGAACCGAGAGAGAGGCAGGCCGAGGGTTACATTTTTCACCGGGAGAAGCAACTGCCGACAGCCGCACTGTGTTCTGCAGGTAGCCTGTGCCATGTGAGCCCAAAGCCCCGTCTCCTCCCCATCAGTCACCTCGCTAAGGGAGGAAACGCTGAGAATGAACAAAAACCTGGCCTCTATCCAAGCTGCCTCCAGTTCAAGGTTAAACCACGGCTCCCAGGGAGAAGGCCAGGCCTGCCCGCGCTTGTGCCTTCACACGTGCAACACCCCGCACTTCTGAGCCAAACCTGCAGAGCCACGGCACCCGCACCCGACGTTCCTGGGAACAGGAACCCTTTCCATGCCTAGCCCGGGGATTTTCTGGGGGAGCCGCCGAATTAAATTTCTCTAGCAATCTTGTCGCAGGGACAAGCACACACGATTTAAATACCTCCCAATTGAGACTTTCCACACGGACTTGGCCTTAAAAATAGCAGACGCTGATAAAAATTGCTGTTAAGGAAAAAAAGAAGTGGGTACAGTTCTCAGTTCCCCATCGGGCACACCCGTCGCTGGCAAGAAAGGGCACTCGGAGCTGAGTGTCCCCAGGGCGCTCGGGAACGTCCGGTCTGCGTGTTGCCGGGGCCGGAGCCCGCGGGCTGGCAGGGTGATGGAGTGGCAACCGGACGGGGTGGACAAGCACACAACCGTGCAAACTCCACAATAAAACCGCTGGAAGCCCTTCGCGGATGCTTAAATCGCAACACTGTTTCTTGTTGTATAATAAGAACAAAGGTTAGATGTTTGCTACTCAAAAGCGCAAAAAGTATCAACATGGAGGTTCTCTTTGAACAATGAGGTAATGGGGGGGGGAGGAGGGAGAGAGAGAGAGAGAGAGAGAGAGAGAGAGAGAGAGAGAGAGAGAGAGAAGGAGGCTCGGCAAGGGCTCAACTGTTCACCAGCCTATTAGGTCCTTGTTCCCTTCCTGGCGGCTCTGTGCTCTGACGCTCAAGAGCAAATCCGGCTCCCAGAGGTCTCGCAGGTGAGGCGGCTCTCAAGGAAGCCGAGCGACAGGTGTGCCACTGGAGGTGAGCAGAGGGGGAGGGTCCACGCGCCCCTGGCCGGGGGCGCACCATGCTGTCTCCTGGACGTGCTGAGCCAGACAGAAGGCTCATGGGAGGTGCTAACACTGGACGGAAACCTTTATACCCCAAGTGGTTCCCGAAGGGGGAACTTCTTTCTCACAAACTCACAAGACCCTGAAAGTCTCACTGGAAACTCAGTTCGTAACGTCATAAAGGGTCTCAGTTTCAAAGACAGTTTTGATTTTTAAAATATCCTCAGGTGTGATCAAACCCACCCAGGGCCCCGGTGGCTCCTCCGCGCCCCTCCCGCTCTCTCCCTGCTGCTGAGCCCACTCACCCATCCGAGCCGGGCCTGGAGGGCGTGCTGTCCGATGACAGGGAGGAGACCGAGGCCACGGACAGGGGCCGGGACGAGGAGGGCATGGTGAAGGACCGCACCATGGAGCGCGGGCGGCTGCCGCGCCGGTCATCCAGGCTGGAGGGCTGCAGGGGAGGGAGAGGGAGGGACGGAGAGAGAGGCTCGTGGGATGTTCGTACCAATGGACTTCCGGTCTGGCGGGCTCAGAGTCTTGGGCCACGTTGTCTTAACAGCCTGGAATCCTGACCCAAATTGTCAACACCTCTATGTGCAGCACATGTTCCCACTTGGAGTCAAAGATGAAAATGAGGATGATTTGGTTTTAGAAAATTTTAGATGCAGATTTATTTTTATTTTTACTTCTTTTTTTACCAAGACCACGATCCATCAGCCTCTTCCAAAGTCCTAGCAGGAAGCACTGACCAGAAAGCCTGGTTTACAGAGTAACATCTGGAACGAGATGAAAGAACCTGCAAGACCTTTGGATGAACTGGGTGCAACTCTGCATGTTGACAAAACGTGCCCATCAAGCACGTGTGACCACTGGACTCCTGTTGACTAAACACGATGCCCCTGCTCTTAGTTAGGGGGGCTCCTCCACGGTGGATTCGGGGCAGCTCGCTGGGCCTGCCGGGAGGACTGGGGATGCATTTCATTCCCCAGAAAAGTGGTCTCGGGACGGAGTTCTCCATCCTCTCTCGGATGTGTTTTTGTATGTCACCAAAAAAGGTGTCCCTGAAAGATACCACGTGTCAACCTCTAATCAGGAGAAAATACTCGTGCCTGCGCCCGAGCCAGCTGTTGGCACATCTGGGACCGCAGCTGCCGCCGAAGCTCCTTCCTTGGCCCGAGGACGTGGAACCCCACGCCTGTAGGGCACATCCTGTGTGGCTTCAGCCGCCACCCCTCACCCCCACGCCGACCTGCCACGGATGACAGATTTAGAACCACCACTTTCACATCTGAAAAGTGGGCCCGTGCCTTAAATGTGTGTATTGCATACGAGTTACAATTTGATTGGCTCACTGTCTCTTTAATAAGAACAGGAACAAAACTGCAGGAGGACCGTTGAGAGCAGGAGACGGGGTGCCTTTTCTGTGAAGTGCCAGACGGCCCGGCCAGTGGCTCCGTGGTTGAGGGTCAACCCATGAACCAGGAGGCCATGATTCCATTCCCGGTCAGGGCACATGCCTGGGTTTCGGGCTTGATCCCCAGGAGGGGGCGTGCAGGAGGCAGCCGATCGATGCTTATCTCTCATCATTGATGTTCCTAGCTCTCTCTCCCTCTCCCTTCCTCTCTCTAAAAACAATAAAAACATATAGAAAACATGTAAAGGGCAGGATCATTGGTACTTTCGGCTCGCAGGCCACACAGGCTCTGCACCTCTGCCCGGTTCCGTGGCTGTGGCATTAAAGCAGCCACACACAACACAGAAGAGCGGTCGTGACTGCTTGCCAATAAAACTTTATTTACAAAGGCAGGTGGCGGCCTCTGCCTGCCAACCACTGGCTCAGAGTGATATGCGGCTGGCAGCTGGCAGCAGGGGGTCTGCCCAGGCTTGGGCCTAACACCATTCATGGGGCCAGAGCCACCAACTGGCTTCAGTGAGAAAACTAAAGAGGCAACAGTGACTTGCAGCCCAGTCCAGGCTGTGAAAATGCTCCTCATACAAAACCTAGAGCTGAGCCTGCAGTGTCCTCTCCCGGCCTCTGAAACGACCCAGGGCTGGCCTGCGAGGGTCCTGAGGCTGGGCCCGGAGCCTGGTTTGTGTCCCTAGAACCTAAGGATCAGGACTTGACTTTTCCATCGGAAGCAGCGGTCTCCGCAGTCCTGACGGACGGGCCTCCGGGGCTAGGATGCGTGAGTGGACACTGTCTGTCCCACAGCAGGGCTGGCCGGGCCGTTGGAACCAGGCTGGCGCTGGGAGTTAGAATCAAGCTGGCCAGGCCATCAGAACCAGGCTGGCTAGGCCATCGGAACAGGCTGGCACCGGGAGTTAGAACCAGGCTGGCTGGCTGTCGGAACCAGGCTGGTGCTGGGAGTTAGAACGAGGCTGGGGTTCTGGCTCCAGCAAGGCTGTGACTTCGCATAAAACGTGGACTCACGTGTGCTTGCTCCCTCCCAAGCACACAGGGAGCAATTGTCCGACCGATGAGGCCGTGAGGAGGGGACGAGGGAAGCCCGGGGGGTTGGCAGCTGCCCTGTCCTCGCTGTGTTGTTACCGTGGCCTGAGCACCAACCCCCCTGGGCTCTCACCAGGCGCGCCCTCCCGCTGGCATCACACCTGATGCGGCGTCGCCAGGCTGAGCTGCCCCCCACCCCCGGGTGCTCCCTGCAGTGTAAGCACAGAGAGCAGCGTTTCATGGGCTGAGGCGCAGGCAGCTCATGAGCTTCTCCATTTGTTCTTTCCACACACTGCACACATGCCCACGTGGGTGGGAACTCTCACGGGGTGACATGCCCGCCCCTAGGAGAGGGCTGTGGAGAGTGGTCTGGGTGTGGAAAGGAGAGGTTGGCCGTGGGCTCCATCTCCTCCCGACCACCTCCAGGGCCCTGCTTGGCCTCCGGCAGTGACCATCCTCCAACAGGCGAGTCCCCGCTGACCATCTCAGCCCTAACCCCTCACGCCTCCCTCAGTGACGGGGACCTTGGGCCGGGCCCGGGCTCCCCTGACCTGGGACACTGTGGGCTGGCGCCCTGCGTGACATGTGACTGATCCTGTGTGTGTGTGAGTTTCCCTGCCGCTCCCCCACGAAGGGGAGTTGGAGATGCAGCCACTTCATGGGCGTTATCGCCGCGATTTCCCGAGGCTGAAAGGAGGTGCTGGTTTTGCTGGCCGACGAGCGACACAGGGGACCGAGGTCCGACGCCCCGCTTCCTAAGCAGGCGTCCCGTCCGCATCTTAGTTACCCCGCCGCGTGAGCCTGCCACGTGGAACGCCACCCCCCGCCCCCCACAGGGGGACCGCTCACCATGGCCCGGACGCCGTACTGCTTCTCCACCTTCTCCCGCAGCTGCCGGAAGCAGGCCTCCATGCGCTCGTGGAAGGGCCGCAGCGCCTCGGTGATCTTCTCCCCGTGAATCCGGATCCCTTCAGCCAGGAACGGGATCTGGAAGACGAAGGGGCGACCCTCCTCATTTCCGGCCGCGCCTGGTCCGGGAGAGGCGGGCACGCAGGGCGGGGGTGGCACTGCCACGGGGACCTGCTGTGGCGCCCACGCGGGACGGGCCGATTGAACGCATCAGCAGGCTTGTCACCCCCAAAGGCCAAAGTGTGGAAATTAAAATCGTCTGCGTTGTGCCCTGACTGGTTTGGCTCAGTGTTTAGAGCGTCGGCCTGCGGACTCAAGGGTCCCAGGTTCGATTCCAGTCAAGGGCATGTACCTTGGTTGCGGGCACATCCCCAGTGGGGAGTGTGCAGCAGGCAGCTGATGGATGTTTCTCTCTCATCGATGTTTCTAACTCTCTATCCCTCTCCCTTCCTCTCTGTAAAAAATCAATAAAATATATTTTTAAAAAAATCGCCTGTGTTGTAAATTGGCCGCATCGGGGGCGGGGCTCAGCGCCGAGGGCGCCTGGAGGCCTCCCTTCCCGGACTCGCGTTGTCCGCCCCCCGGAATGCCCACCTGGCGGGCACTGGCCTGGGGAAGAGCTGCATGCGAGTTGTTCACATGCAACCTGATCTGTTGGCCACGGGCCATGTCACTGTGCAGAGGTTTTTCTCAGCGAAGAATATTCTATGGGATACGAGAGCCCAGCTCCCAAACGCAAGCATCTACGATTCTACGTCTATGGGATCCGTGGTCCTAAAAGACATGCTTTGGAAACAAATCCGCATCTTTTCTTCCTGAAAACTAAAAATAGTCCCTTCGCTGCCAGCACGGCTGTCACACAGTCTCCCACCAACACCTCCCTTCGGAGCGTGGAGACGCAGCTGACCTTTAAAAGTGTCACAAAGAGACGTTTCCTCCCCAGCACCGACCAGGACCCTCCGGCCACTGTCCGGGGGATTGGGAGGCAGGAAAGGCTCGCTCCCTCCCCGTTCTGCTGCCAACCCCACCCGCCCCTCCCTCGCCGACAGGGAGCTCGACACTCCTCACCGCAATCAGGCGAAGAGGCTTCCTCTTAATAACTTATAATTAAATCAGCGCACTGATTAGAAACAGATTTCCTCGTAGAGCAGAGCACCAACCTCGAGGAGCAGATTTAGAAGATGGGTAGTAAGTGCACAATTGGATTTCATGTGTACAAATTCTCGAAACCTTGTCAAGACGAATCACGGCCTAACCTGAGCTTGGCTGGCATTGCTGGCAGGCAGCTGTGGCCCGGTGGCACTCCAGGCACTCCAGGCGGGGGGCTGGGGATGTGTCCCCTACCCGCTCCCCGCCCTGTGTTTGCAGCCCTCTGGCTGCACCCACAGTGTGTTTTGCTGACAGTGGGGCCTGACCCAGGTCCCCGCCAGGCACCCGCTTCCCACGGTGACTGCCAGCAGGACAGTGTGCGGTGGGGTCCCGGCCAGCGGGTGTTTAATATTCCGTGGGAATCGCTCCCGCGGACGGCGGCTTCCCGGCTGCTGCGGTCTGTTCAGGGCAACAGTAGTAAATGCTGACGGGAATCCTTCTGCTCCCCGAGTCCCCCTCGGGGGCCGGCAGAGGCAGGCTGGGGGCAGCCTGGGCGGCTGGTAGAGGCGGCGTGTCTAGCTGGGTGCGAAGGCCAGCATGGGGGTGCGGCCTGCAGGTTAAAGCACAGCCTCCCTGCACACTGGGAACATTTCGATGGAGCAGGTCCTTCTGGAATCTGCAGAATGCAACCTAATCCTTCCGGTGTGTCGTGTTGGTTTGATAAAAGCCTGCATTGGGCAGATTCTTGACACCGAAGATGCTACTTGCTGGACTAACGTTAAGACCACGAACTGCCATCTGGCAGGTGACATTTATGGGGCGTGAAATTTATCCCCCAGGGAGGTGCCTGGCCTGGGTCACCTAGAACCTTCTTCGAGGACGGGGTCTGCGTCACCTGGGGCGGAAGTGCAGCCATGAATAAACACTCTCTCCAATTGGTCAGGCACTGAACATACAGAGGCCATGGCGCGAGGCCTGGGTGGCCTTCAGAGACTCGTCAATCCAGGGGGATCGACCTGGCGGGGAGCATCAAGATCTGGGGACAGACTGCTGACCCCCACGTGGGCCCCGATTTGCTTGAGGCCGGGGCCCAGGAACCTGTCTTTCTAAAGAGCCTCCCAGAGAGAGGAGAGCCCCCTCGCGTTGCTCACACTGAGCGCGAGGCCCTTCTACCAGGCAGCGCCGCCCTTGAGGCTGCCCCTTGTGTCCCGGCCCAGCCTGCTGGCAGCAGGGAGCACTGGGAGGGCAGCTCCATGCTTGGGGAGCGCCACCCCGGCGACGACGTCGCACCTGTCACCAGCTGGGGACCACAAGTGAAGCTAGCCTCTCATTTCAAAGAGAAACACGGACGCAGCCCAGCGGCTTAATCCGAGTCTGTGTGGGCTCACCTCTGGACAGTGAGCAGGGATGCTCAAGGGGACAGCTGCTCTGGGGAGCGACCCAGCTGGGCCCCTGGGGAGGGGGCTGGCGCTCACCGGCAATTACAGAGCAGCCTGCGCCCGCCTCCAGGCCCACGGGGGAGGAGCAGGCCCTGGCACAGAGCCGGGAGCTGCCCGGCATCGATCACCAGCCTTCACCAGCGGTTTTAGGAACGAGGATGCGCTGACTGCGCCTCGGTGGTGGGAACCGTGCCGGCGAGGCCCGGGGATTCCCGGGGGGAAACGCACTCCACCCACACGGAGTCTCAGAAAAAACCAAGCAAGCAAACCAACAAAACCAGCAGCGAACGTTCAGAGAGCCCCACACGTCTTCTTCATGGCTGCGAGGCTCAATTAGGGAGCGGAACACATGGGTTTTCAAAACATTGCAAACGAGAGCGAAATCGCAGGTAATGTCTGAATATGAGTTTCCAGCGCTTTTGATTTAATGAAGTTGCTAGAAAACAGATGCCTCCTTTCAACTCCCCCGCGAGCGGCTCTGAGAGTCATCCTTTAATAAAGTTACAAGGGGCCGTGACACAGTGCTGACACACAGTTCTCTCCGGGGGACAAATTATTTTCCTCTGTAGGACTCGAAACTCTTAAAATCCAATTTGCTGCAAAAGCTCGCAGGGAACAAAAATCAATAGAACTTCTGCAGACCGAACCAGTTTCTGTGTGGCAATGGCTGCATCGCCGCCAGGAGGTCCGAATTGCGCACCCTTTGGCTACGGCAACATCTAAATTGGAATCTTCCAGACACTTCAACTCTCCCCCTGTTTTCAGTAACAGGAAACCACCCACAGGAGGCTTCCATCCCAGGCAGCTTGGCCCTGGAGGTCCCAACGTTTCTTTCTTCCTTTCTTTCCTTCTGACTTTTTTCTGTTTAAATACATTTTTATTGATTTCACAGAGGAAGGGAGAGGAAGAAAGAGAAACATCAATGATGAGAGAGAATCATGGATCGGCTGCCTCCTGCACGCCCCTTCTGGCCTCCCACTGGGGATCGAGCCTGCGACCAGGGCATGTGCCCTGACCGGGCATCCAACCATGACCTCCTGGTTCATAGGTCGATGCCCAACCACTGAGCCACACTGGCCAGGCCCAACACTTCTTATCAGAGTAATTCCAAGCCAAACAGATGCCAGGTGCCTGCAATGTGCGGCACAGTCCCACCCACTAGGGTGGCTTTTCAACACTCGCACACAAACAACAGAAACGGGAAAGCAGCACGTGTTGGGGAGGATGTGGAGCCACGGGGACCCTGTACATGACCGTGGGCGGGATGACAAAATGGTGCAGCTGCTGTGGCAAACCGCCTGGTGGCTCCTCAAAGGACGGAAAGTAGAGTCAGTGCATCAGCAGCACCCCACTTCTGAGTGTACCCCCCACGCCAGCGAAAGCAGGGAATTGAACAGGTTCACAGCAACGTTATTCACAGTTGCCAACAGGTGGGAACAACCCGGTGTTCCTCGGTGAGTGAATGATTAAGAATGTGGTTGACAGACACAACGGAATGTCATTCAGCCTCAAAAACGAGGCGCGTTCTCACGCGTCACAACATAGATGAACTCGGAGACACACTGCTAAGGGAAATAAGCCAGGCGCAGAGGGACGGATGCTGTGTGATCCCCCTTATGTGAGGCTCCTCGAGGAGGGGAGTTCATAGGGACAGAAAGGAGAAGGGGGCGTCGGGGGCAGGAAGAATGGGGAGCCGTTTAGTGGGGACAGAGTTTTAGTTTTGCAAGACGGAGAGTCCCGGAGATGCTGGTGTGATGGTCGCACCACAGTGCGGGTGTACGTAATGCCACTGAACTGTGCGTTAAAACGGTTAAAGTGATAAAGTGTGTGCTCTGTGAATTTGACCACAGTCAAATATAACATAAGCCCACTCCACCCTAAGAGGCCACACTAGCTAATGGGCTGATGATGGAGGAGCCACGCAGGTGAGGCTCGGACTGGCCAGTGCTGGGGTCCAGCCCCAGCGGGTCCAGGGGTTCCCAAAGGTGTGGACGGAGTCGGCGAAGAATGTTTTACACGGAGACAGTGTTCAGAACTCTCTAGCTTTCCTTAGTCTCCGTGGATCTTCCTGTGCCTGGCTGAGGCCACAGAGAGAGATCCCAAGGCAAGCTGAGCCTTTATTTTATAGTGAGAGGTAAACAAGGTAGTTGTTTCTAGAGTTACACAGTTCTTGTGAGTTTCACTTGTTTTGACCATAGTTACACTTCCTGCACTTTCCTCAGCCCATTAGCTTCCCAGATAAGATCTAGAGAGCCTCATAAGGTCAAGCCTAATTATGCTAAGAGGACTGTGCCCTCTAAGCTGGAAATTGTTTGTGACTTTGCCCACAGGTCAGTCCGAGGCTTAACCCTATATCAGCTCCCCACAGGCCAGGACAGAGGGGTCCCCAGAGGTGTCTCCTCAGGAGGAGCCGATCATGTCAGGGACTCAGTGTCGGCCTGGGAGCCTCGCTTAGCAAGGCGGCCAGGGGAGCCACGCCAGGCTAGGCGCAAGGAGGCCGGGCTCCCTGACATCCCCCCAGCCTGAGCTCTGCACCCAGCCAGCTGTGGGTTACACCAGCCAGCACCCTGCTCGCCGCCCACGAGAGAAAACAGCCGCAAGAAGCGAGCTGCCCAAAGTGGGCAGAGCAGGTGGGCAGAGCTCCCAGGAGAACCGCCCCTCTGAGGAAAGACTCGGAGGTCTCAGGAGCAGGAATAGAAAAGCAAAGCAATGAGCCGCATTGGAGTTGGGAAACGCAGATGTAACACACCCCCACCCCTCGCGCCCCACACTCACCTGCCACGCGATCAGGTCCTTGAGCTTCTCGATCTTCTCGTGCGCCTCCGGGTGCTCCTGCAGGTACCGCTCCGTGAAGAAGGCCTGGAGGGGCGGGAGCCACTCAGTACCCCCAGCACCCACCATGCGCTCTGCACACCTACTGTGGGCCAGGCCCCGGGACAGAGCTGTGGGTAAAACAGACTCACACTCCTGGATTCACAAGGACAGGGGGCGGCTTGTGGTGGGAACGCCAGGGCCAGACCACACCGCTATCGGTCAACCCTGCCCACTCCCATCGAGATGCTTCCCGGGGGCCAGCTGGCCCTCTCCACGGAGCCGCCCTGACACTTGATCCTGTGGCCTCAGTGGTCCCAGGGCTCATGAAAGCCACGGGGGTCCCTCTTAGAGCCAACCTGGGGGGACCGTGCCCCGCCCAGGCCTGGCCATGGGGGGCCCTTGACCGTCTCCAGCCTGCAGGGGCTGCCCGGGCCTCCTGGCCTGGCCTTAGGCCGCCCGGGAGACCAGGGTGGGCTGTCCCTGGACGGGGCTGTGGAGAGCTGGCGGGCCACCTGCCTTTTCGTAGTTGGCGAAGCCGCCCATGACGGCCGGGTCCACGATGCCGGTAAGGAACATGGAGAGGGGGTTGATGGGCAGGCTGGGGTCCTCCAGGTGCTGCTGCACCATGCTGTCCAGCTTGTCGTTGGTCAACTGCATGGTCTCGATGGCGTTCTCCAGGGGGCTGATCTCCACCTGAGGGGGCAGCACAGGCGTCGGGCCGGCTGCGTCCACGCCCATCGCCGGTCCAGCCAGGAAAAGAGGGTTCCATGTGCTCTAGAACCACATCTGGATTTTCAAGGGGATTCGCTGGAAACTAAATGGCAGCCCACGCCATGCGGCTAAGACCCTGCCAGGGGACGGCAGACAGGAGACACTACAAAATGGGCATCTTTCAACCGGACGGCATATGCAGGCCATCGCTGCTGCCACGAGTTCATGGGGAGCCTGTGGCCGGCGAGTCCCTAAGGAAACTGCCCCACAGCGCTCCGCAGGCAAAGCAGGGTTAGCTAATGAGATGCAAGTCTTTATTTCTTTAAAAGGTGCTGGGGAGGCGCCCGGCCGGTGTGGCTCAGTGGTTGAGCGTCTTCCCATGTACCAGGAGGTCACTGGTTCCATTCCGGGTCAGGGCACATGCTCAATCCCCAGTCGGGGGCGTGCAGGAGGCAGCTGACGCATGATGCTCTCTCATCATTGATATTTCTCTTTCTCTCTCCCTCTCTCTGAAATTAATAAAAGAACACTTTTTTTCTTTAAAGTGCCAGGGAGGAGTAGCAAGCTATCTCGGCTTGAAATGAGCAAGTGCTATTAATCAAGGTGTTTGTCATGCAAATGGAGATGAAATCATAGGAAGGAGCTGGGAAAAGCCCTATGCAAATGGGGCCTGGCCCTAAGCTCTCCGGTAGCTAAGTGGAGGGGCTGTCAGACCATGGGGAGGGCTGGCGCACTGCCTACTGGGAGGCATGAAGCTCAGTCTCCGTTTCCCATAAGCTCCACCAGCTGTGCTCACCCATCTCACTAGGACAGCGGTTCTCAACCTGTGGGTGGTCGCGACCCCTTTGGGGGTTGAACGACCCTTTCACAGGGATTGCCTGAGACCATCGGAAAACACATATATAATTACATATTGTTTTTGTGATTCATCACTATGCTTTCATTATGTTCAATTTGTAACAATGAAAATACATCCTGCATATCAGATATTGACATGACGATTCATAACAGTAGCAACATGACAGTTATGAAGTAGCAACGAAAATAATGTTATGGTTGGGGGTCACCACACCATGAGGAACTGTATTAAAGGGTCGCGGCATTAGGAAGGTTGAGAACCACTGCCCTAGGAGGTTCGAGGATGAAGAGACGGGGGAGGGGGGGGTGTGATGTCGGGCTCAGTCTGTCTGATCTGGGGGCGGCATGCGCACTGGGCCGTGACCACACGGCACACGTCGGGAAGCGTGAGCGAGGGCCACGACAGTCCCTCCCGGGCGTGTCCTTACCATGAAAACGGACTTGACCTCAAACCACCTGAGAATTCCAGGCAGCTTGTACGCGGTCGTGTAGACGGTCCTCTCGATCCACATGTTCTGCGAAGGGAACACACGCCCGTGTGAGCAGGGTCAGCAGCTCGGCGGCTTCTGCCCCAGCGGGACTTCCGGCCCTCGCAAGGCCAGCCCCCAGGACGGGGTCCCCTGGGAGGGAGGACGCTCGGGAAAATGAGGGGGTTCCCTCGGAGCAAACGGGTTTCTGGAAAGGCTGCCCTGAGTGAGGCCCGGGCCTTACTGAGCCGTCACGTCAAGTGAAACTCAAAGGCACGTGAATTGAGGCCAAGGGGCTTTGTTAAAGTGACTCTCACATAATAACAAAACCCGTGCTTTAAGCTTTAATATTTCCACCTAACCGGCACATGTTTACGTTCTAAAATAAAGACATGGAAATAGAAGGGAGAACCATCACCCACTGCTCAGACACGGTCACTTACACGTTCACTAAGCATTGAAAAGTGTGTACAGTTTCAATAAAAACACCACTTTACAATCTACATGTTTTGTAAAGGCTGCCTTACATATGGGAGGCAATTGTTTCCGCCAACAAACACAACTCCTTCACCCCGCCTCCTGCGCTGTCACCTCCCTGCCCCTGGGGCGGGTGCTCCCTGAGCGGCTGAGTCTGCGCACAGGGACCCCGATACAGACACAGGGCACAAGGGGCACCTGTGCCGGGACCCGGGTCCGGGTGAGGCGGCTCGGACACCCCCAGGAGGAGGCACCTGTGTGCTGTGAACGCAGACACTTTCACAGCCCGCCACCTGTCACAGCCTCCTGGGGACTGGGACGTCGTCTGGGCCGCCATTGTCTATGTTTGAGGGGCGCTATGCTAGGGTGTCTGCACGGCGGGGCCTTCGAGGCTGTACTATCCCACAGGCCGTTTGGTTGGGGGTGGAATGAGCTTTAGGGGTGTGTGTGTGTGTGTGTGTGTGTGTGTGTGTTTACCGAAAATTCATTGTCTGGGTCTTTCTCTCCCTTGCGGATCGGCCGAGAATATTCAAATCGCTGGACCTCGTTCACCCTGTAAAAGCTGCAGAGAGAGAAATCATTAGGCATTTAACCCCCAAAGCAGTCGATTTCCTTTGCGAGGCGAGGCCGTGCCTCCCAGCGGGTCACCTGTTCCCTAAAATATCCCTGACCTTGACCGGAGGCGCTAGCTGAGCCTCTCTCTCCCCGCAGCTTCGACGCGGACGTTGGCAGGTGGAAAAATGAGCTGGAGCTGCCTCCTCCCCGTCCCCCAAACCCTCAGGGAGACCAGATGCAGTGACAGAGAGACGCCCAGCGGCGAAGGTGACTCGGAGGAGAGGGAAAGGCCCGCCGCCGCCACGCGTGTGCCGGTTACGTAAAACTGTCCATTAATAATGGATCTGTTGAACTTAGTCTTTCAACAGCGAACTTCTTAAAATAATTTCACTTAATACTTTATCATTTTGAAAATAAAAAACGACATCTTTATTATTTCTGAACAGGTCTTACATGCTTTACTAGTAGTTTCAGATCTACACACGGCAGATCTGCAACCACCAAGAGTGGCAGGGACGGGACCCGCGTGCCCCCCTCCCCTGGGGTGGGGGGGACCCCTGCACGGAAACGCAGGTGGGCTCCCCACGTCGGAGGGAAATATCTGAGCCTATACTATGGTTCACTCTTTGCTTTATGTCTCTGAGAAGAAAATGTCGCACCACTTAAAACGCATGCCTTGTGGACGCTACCATTTGCGACCAGCAGAATCCCCAGCAGAATCCCAGTTTATTTGTCGTTACTGCTGACAAGAGGTTAAGGATGGGAGTGAACCCAGCCAACCTCAGGCTACGAGGTAAGAGATCCTGAGCACTGACAAGCCATCCGATAGGTTAGCTTTTTGTTTGTTTTTTTTCACCAGAACATGGATCAAATGGAAAAGAAAATTCTTAACATCAAAGAAACATCGGAAGCACGCTGTGTCCACAGCATTGCTGAGCCAGGTACAACTCAGAGAGGCGTAAAATCTCACTCAAATTCGGATGCCTGCCCGGAGAGTTTTGAGACCTGCCTCACGATCCCACGTTACGTGATCGCTGGGTGTAGTTCCCCACGGGGAGCGCGCCTGGGGCTCCCTCTTCCTGCCTCGCAGAACGCACACTCGGCCACACCCAGGCACGGGGCACTGCTGAACACTTCCCAGGATCCTCTGCCCGGGGGGTCGTCAGCAGACCAGGTGTCCCCTCCCCCTCCTGTTTCCCTGGCCTGCCGACCTCTGACCCCTGGAAAGGAATAACCCGGCACCCTCCCAGCCTTGGGTGTCGACTTCTTCCTCCACGTTCTTTACAGCTGATTCTCGAACAACATGGTGTGATCTGCGCAGGCCCACTGAACGTGGATTCTTTTCCGTAAACAGGTGGCTGTTTGAGGGCTGACTGTGCGCATCGGTCTACACTGTGGTATAGAGAGGACCTGAGCAGGGGGTCCTGGAACCAACGCCCCCAGATGCCGAGGGACAAGTAAAGTTTGTGGTTGGCAGAAGTTCTACAAAGGCTTTTGGACCGTGGCAGAGGGTGCCCCTAACCCAGGCGTTGTTCGTGGGTCAACTGGACCTCCTGCACTGCACCCCACTTCCTTCCTGATGCTGAAAGGAATCTGCTCCCCTTCGCCGAGGCAAAGCCCAGCCTTTCCCAGTGACATGGCCGATGAGAGCTGTACGTCCCCTCCCGCCCTCGTCCGGGCAGGAAAACGGGTGGCTTACTTCACGATCTGCTCGGAGACCGGCCTGTGGAATTTGGGGGGCAGGTCCAGCTTGGGCTTCACCGTGAAGCACTGGATATCTGAGGGTGAGGAGGTCAAGGATCACCCTCCGGGGAGGCAGCCCCCGGACCCAGCCCTCCCCCTCCTGGCCTGGCGCCGGCCCGGGCGCGCGTGGCGCTGGGTAAGGATACACTGGCCGGGGGAGCTTTTGATCTCCTCGCTGGGCGGGGACGTTGTCTTCATTTTCTCGGCGTTTGGGAACTGAGTTAAGAGCCGAGCCTCAAAGTCTTCCCGGCGTTCGTACTCCTTCCCCCGGTAGATGAAAACTTTGCCCTGTAAACGGTGACATTCATTAAGTACCGGGAGGGGTGGGGGGAGGGCCTGGGACAAGTTCACACACGAGGGTCCTACCCGTCTCATTGAAAGGAAAAGGCTCTGCCCCGGCCGGCGTGGCTCAGGGGTTGAGCGTCGACCTATGAACCAGGAGGTCACGGTTCGATTCCTGGTCAGGGCACATGCCCGGGTTGAGGGCTCGATCCCCAGTGGGGGGCGTGCAGGAGGCAGCCCGGAACCCAGGATTCCTCCATCCACCTGGATATTTCTAATCCTCTTCT